GTAAAGTATAAAGTAGTGTACAATTGAAGGAAAAGTACCTCAAAATTGCAGGTACTTTCCAATATTTGTAAAGGCAGATAGGACATCTTTCTTTGTAATAAAAAATATATAAATTAGTTGGTGATTGGATGGCTGATTAGAGATTCTCAAACAGGATATAATGAGAATCAAAGATGTGACGGTTAGTTTTCTAGCCCAGAGACCCAGAATACACAGCATTTTGATGTAAACCTTTATTTCCCCCAAAAGATTGATCTTTAGTAATACATTTCAGGTAACATTTTCCAAGCGTTGACACGTGGCATTTTGAAATGAAGCTCCTGAAATGTTAAGTGTGGCTATAGCCTGTGTGTGTGTGTGTTACTCCTATACGCCATCAGATCCAGCAGCTGTAGGTGACGTTCTGCCATCAGAGTCTCAGAGCAGCGCTGGGGAAGGACTGGCACAAAAGCAGGCAGTCATAAAAGATTCAACATCATTCAAAGTCTTCTCTCCCATGCACGCTTAGACAATGTGACATTAAAAACAACAAGAGAATGTCGGTCCAGGAAGCATATTTCAGGAAACGTCTTTTTTTTGGAGAATACTGAAATGTAGAAGAGGAGAAAAAAAACTGCTTTTGGCTTGACACTATTACTGTCACTTGCCTTGTGAAGAATCAAGCGGCATACTCACGTTTTCACGTTGGTTCTACTAAAGTTATGATGTGATTCTCTGTCAGGCATACAGGCTTTTGAATTAATAGGATGCCATTTAAAAAAGGGAAAACATTGTTTTGATACTGAATCTTTCCTGAGTAAATCACCCCTCATTTAGATGCAATTAGCTACCGTAAGAGTTTCTCTTTCTTTGAGCTTTCTTGACATTTACATTCAAAATGCTAAACAAAATGTGTTCCTTGTGCAAATACATCTCTTCAGAATACACGTCTGCCTGAAAATGTGCCATTCGGGGAGTTTATTTCCCTTCTTTATTTCATTGTTTTACGAGGTCTTTAAAATGTAAGTGCTCCTTTCTCTTCCTTCTCACCTATTAGAGAACGCAGCTGTGAGGCAATTCTGCGAGGAGGAAAAAACAAAAATCAGGCTACCATGTGTTGAACTGTTTTACTGCTAAGCAGCGGGTTTGATGAATTACAAGTCAGTTAGTTCATTTTGCTGACAGAATGCAAATTTATTTATGACCCTGAGACTGGGAGAAGATGAAATCATCATATATTTCCAAACACTCACGCAGTGTTTTAGATTAGGGGAATCTGTTTGGGGTGGAAACACATTCTATGAATAAATTGTTCGAGTTCCCTTTCGAAACAACTCTTGGAGTGCCACATTCAAACAGCCGCACATGGTGCTCCTTCCCGACAGTCCAGCCCTTGAACTCGGGGAGAACGTGGAGAAGCCGAGTGAAAGAAAATCTCAATTTGAGGGCACGGCAGGACGCGCCGTCTTCCTCCAAGTCGGGAGAGTTGGTCTTTGAATCAAAAACACTAAATCAACTTTAATTCTTAGAGTGTCTGCTTTTGATTTATAGTCATGGAATGAAATGCGGCCCGTTTCATATGATTTGGTGGTTATCCCATTTGACATTTTCATCAAATCACATTCTCGGGCCATATCTGTAAAATTGAGAAATCATCAGAGCTGAAGTAGTGGGATATTGGAAGTTCAGCTTCATCAGCAGTCTGTGCTGCTGAAATGAGAGAGACCTCCAGTAGGCTCCTCCATCCTCACCCACCCTCCCCTTCACTCTCCCGCCTCTCTGTTTTGTAAACTCTCCATCTCTCATTTGGTTTTGCTCCTCACTCGACTGCTCTAGATGTGGTGAGATCACACTACGGCTATTTTATCTCCACTTGTGTGGGAAATCAGTTAATTAAACAGAGTTACTGCTATTCATAGCATATCCAGATCGTGGCGTTTTTTATTGGTGCATTGAGAGCTGCAGCTATACCGACGAATGTAATGATCTGGAGTGAAAGCCTAGAGTGGATCACTAATGTAGTGATGATGGTGGCTTTTACTGTAACTTGTGTTTAATTGAATCCTGACATTGTCACTTCCAACTCGTCAAACACTGACGCTTAGTCGGTGGCCCTTTGCTTCAAACCATGACGCTCTACACACCCCTGTAGCGTCAGTTTTGGACGTGTGGCAGTTTCCACTCGTTAGGTTTAGGCAAAAAAAGCTCAGTTAGGTTTAGGGAAAGATTGTGGTTGACTTTAACTTGACTTCCTGTTTTGACTATCTGGCTCTTTGTACTATGTCCGTTGCATTGATGGACTTATTATGATAAGACCAGCATAGCCCGATGGACGCTGACCAACCCTCAGTATTTGATGTTGGGAGTGAGACCGGGTTGCTGAGACATATTTAAATTCAGTGTCATTACACAGAGAGCGGAGTCCATTATGATAAAGAGTGAAGGACCCAGTGGAGATGTTATGATGCTAAAGTAATACATTCTCTTTCAACATAACCGGGATTTGTTTAGCTCACAATTAATTTCCCCAACCCCATATCAATAATATTTAATTAAATTGATACGCTATTGATCTTCACACAGTCATTTTGCACGGTAATTAATGGCGAAAATGCTGTGGCATGCAAATGTGAACCTCAATTTTATTCCCATTGGACTGCATCCTCATAAGTGGTTCGCAATGTATTATGCAATCGGCCGATGGCTTATTAAGATCTTTACAGTCATTTAATCTGAGACTGTGGTCAATTACATCTCTCTGGAGTAGCATTGCAGTTTAATTTGATATAAACAAAACAATAGGCCGTGAAGCTGTGGTCATGATGGAAGTTGATACACCCGCTCTCACTCTCTAGTCTGCAACACAGACAGTCAGAGAACTGCTCTGCATCCTCCTCCAGGGACCTCCTGTGTGGCTTGTAAACAATAAATAATATTAATTTCATGCTGGACACCTTCATTGGATCGATGCGCATCGACCGGGCGCATCAGTTGTCTTTATGGGCTGCATACAATGCGGGTGTAATTGCAACAGTTTATGGAAGGACATGGACGCTGTAACAATCCGCAACATACAAATGAGCCTCGTGTTTTCTTAATACTGATCGGTGAATAATTCAAGATGATACAAAAGAAATGGTGGTTCTGCTTTGGTTTTTCGTGATTGATTGCAGGAGAACGTTGCACTTCAAGTCTCAGGATATTGTAACTCAAGCCACTGACGGAGAGAAAATTAATTACAACACCGCAAATCGATGAACAACTAAATGTGTCGACTCCACAAAGAGCCGTGATTGTTCATTGCAGTCTGATTGAGGGAGCAAAAAGGGGGTCAGGATGCTGCAACCCGATGAATCGGTGGAAGAAGAGCTTGTGGAAGAGGTTGCGCCCTGCCTTGACTCAGCAAACGCATCATGGTTGAGAAAACACACTCTGATAATTCCTTTAAAAACAGCTGAAGCTGTACTCCTGTGAGAGGAGAACTGACATATGCATTTATACACACACACACACACACACACACACACTCTCACATCCTGAAATGCACGCAGCTTTTGGGTGCCGTTTCAGAAAGGAAAAAGAAATGAAAGACTCCATCTTGCACCGCCTGATGGGGCGCCGAGCAGATTAGCAGAATGAGGGGAGATCATTTCGAGCAACCTCACGAGTGACCAAGGCTGAGTCACTCTGTTGCGTTCAGCTGCTGTGTTGTCTGCCTTCCTTCACATACATGGCTGTGGGGTTGTGTGTTTCGGCATGTATGCGTCTGCGCTTTGCGCTATCACTCTCACTGCGACTTTGACCTTTAGCGAGGGATGCTGGATGGAGAGAAGGCTTAATGAGTTTGTATAATAGCTGAGCTCTATCTGAGGAATCATCCATCTACACGAGCCCCATAATTAGCTGGTAAGACAGTGGTCCAGCTCTGTGCTTCCACTTATTATTCTGCTGACTATTATGTGGGAGTGGGGGAAATGGACAAACAAAGACACAACCC